TCATGTCATATGTATACATATACCCTGCAGGAAATGCATCTAACTATGAGTTAACTTGAAGTTGATTAGGAAGGAACCAAAGGTCTTCAAAATGATAATATAAAGTTTCGATATTCAATTTATTTGTCCTGAATTCGAAAATGTATTTGTGAAGTGCAGAAAGAAAGTGTATTCAAAGTAAAATTTGATGGAGGATATTTAAATAGAAACTTGTTTAACCCTGGAAGTACCTATTTATTTTTGAATAGTAAACACACGTCGTAATCTTGTCGATGCGACGAATAAAGGACTTTTGGGGTTAAAGAAAACAATCTCCGGATTGCGTCTACATGACTCCTGCAATACTTTTCAACTAGTTTCAAGCTAGATTTTTATAGTTAACTACCAATTACATATATATTTTATAGAAATTCCGCAAAAAAGATAACTACAAGTGGGTTGTTTTTTATCAATTGATAATTTTTTCTGCAGGGTATGTTCACATATAAGTTCAATTATTTACAAACATATGTATATGTATATGCACAATTACATATAATTATGTACAAACGAGTAAATAAAAAGCTGCCGTTCTTACACTTCAAATAAACCTGTTCTAAGCTGCAATAGTACAAATGTGAAACCTCAATATTTGTGTACCGGCGATAGATATGCTTGGTAGATACTGGACGAACATATGGTGTACCCAGTGTAGGGTATAAATACTTTTATACTTGTTACTTGTTATTTGTTTCAATTTATGGTTCATGTGGTTTATTGATTTTCACAATGCAATTGTTTGATCATTATAAAGATTTCTATCTACGAATAAAGACATTGAGTTTACATAATAAAAAAATATTTTCTACCTTATTGGCGACCATAAAATTTAAAGAACTAAAGAAGATATATTTGCAATTAAATTATTTCAAAACTGTACCAAAAAGAAAGCTTTCGCTGCAGCCAACTCATACAAACGAAAATGCAGAATTCGCTTGGAAAACACATTGATCTGCCAACTGAACTCACAAATATCCAATTCAAATTTTCCTCTAAATTAAAACTTATCCAAACCAAGAAAATAAAGAAGTCACATAAAAAGGAAATTAACAAAACCTGTAAAAAATTATGTGTGAAATGTTATTCCTAAAAACTACTACTACTTAGACTAAATTCGAGGGAACCATACTACAGTTTAAGATTTGAATTCAATCCACCGAAAACAAGAAAATTAAAAACAAGATTAACCCTCAAACCGCTAAACCTTTAAGAGTGAAAAATTAATAGTAAAGAAGTTTTTTTAGCAAAATTATAGCAGAATGACCTTAAAATTATCTTCCGAAGTAAAATTAAATTTTTCGTTTAGTTGTTACACTAAAAAAAGGCGTGAGTACTAGGTACTCATGAAATTTGATGTGTAAATATATGCGAACGGCAAAGCATAAAATTACGTTTACATATAATTATAATCTTAATCAAAGCTCGAGCTATCCAAATTGGTTGTGCTTGTTATTCACACAACTCGAGGAAAAGTTAAACTTCTTCTCTATGCCACCGTGGTCACATTTTTCCGCTTCACATATTATGCCATTTAAATATATATTAACTGAATATTTTATTAAAAATACCTTTACGAACCTCTTCTCCTTACTAGCGTAAATTTTTGTTTACTTTTACATTTAACATTCCTCTTCTTCGCAAGTATAACCGATAAAACTAGGTTGGGCACCAAAAAGTTATCGGTTTTATCTGGAATAACTTTATAGTTATAATTTTGTATGACTAATCTCTTTTTATACCCGAGCGCACTTGTGCACAAGGGTATTATAACTTTGTTCACATAACGGTTGTTTGTAACAGGCAAAACGAATCGAGATAGATATAGACAAATGTATACATAAATGATCAGGATGAAAAGAGAAATCGATTAAGCGGTGACTGTCTGTCCGTCCGTCCGTCCGTCTGTGCACACGATAACTCGAGTAGAAATTGAGATATCTTAATGCAACTTGGTACGTGAACTTCTTTTGGGCGTAGGACGGATGGTATTGAAAATGGGCGAAATCGGACAATAACCACCCCTACCTCCCATATAACGGTAATTTTAAGAAATACGAAAACTGCGATATTTTAGTAACTACTGAAGATAATTCACTCAAAATTGATACTTACAATGAGTTTCAGACGGAAAACATGAATATTATAAATTTTTGGAAAATGGGCGTAGCCACGCCCACTTATGGTTACATGTGTATATCTTGGTAACCGCTACACCAATTTCTTCCAAACTTGGCACAGTTATTGGCCTTAGTACAGCATACTAAATGGCTGAAAATTTTAAAAATCGGACAATAACCACGCCTACCTCCCATATAACGGTAATTTTCAGAAAAACTGCGATATTTTAGTAACTACCGAAGATAATTCACTCAAAATTGATATTTGCCATGAGTTTTAGACGAAAAATAAGAATATTACAAAATTTTGGCAAATGGGCGTAGCCACGCCCACTTATGGTAACATGTGTATATCTTTGTAACCGCTACATCAATTTCTTCCAAACTTGGCACAGTTGTTGGTCCTGGTACAGCATACCAAATGGCCGAAAATTTCTAAAATCGGACAATAACCACGCCCACATCCCATATAACGGTAATTTCGAGAAATACAAAATCTTCGATAAATCAGTAAATATTGAAGCTAATTTATTCAAAATTGATGGTTACAACAATTCTTTACCAAGAAATACGTTTATGACAAAATTTTGGAAAATGGGCGTAGCACCGCCCACTTGTGATCACATATATGTATCTCGCTAACCGTTCTAGCAATTTGTACCAAGCTCGGTATGGTTATTGTGCTTGCCACATAAAAGCAAACCGTTGAAAATTGTTGAAATCGGACTAAAATTGAGGCCGCTTTTCATATAACGGTACATTTCAGATATGCTTGAAATTTCAATATTTCGAAATTTAAGGACGCTAATTTACTTAAAATGTATACACCCCGGCTTATCATGTAGCGGTAGCTTTCGGAAAGGAGGAAAACATATATTTAATACTTGCGCCGGGTATTTAATGTTCGGCTCCGCCCGAACTTAGACTTTCTTACTTGTTTTATTTTAAAATGGCTCAAATTTCTAAATTTTTAAATTTAACGAACTTGTTTATTCAAATTATCGTCGACAAAAATTCTAACCACGTGTCATAATCATAGGTTTTTCCTAATTGCAAATTCTTGCTGGCAAAATTTTTTCCAGCTTGAATTTGCAACTTCTCTCCAAGAACTAGTCCTTTTACTTGTGATTTATTCAAATAACAACATGTGAAATTTAGTTGAAACAGTTTAGCCGCTTTTAGCTGGTTCTTTTTGCCAATTTAGCCGGTTGGTCCAAAAAGTTCTGGCAACACTAAACTTTACACCCCAAAAAAGGGTGCTTATCTTCCAACTAATTGCTTGTCTCTTTATAAATGTCTAGCTCATTATACATGTGGGTTAACACGTGCGTAGCTTTTAGATGTTTCAGGAAGAAGAAATTTATTTCGCTTATTTTTCACATATATACTACGAATATGTTACAAGGAGAATGTCAGATTACAAAATAGTTATTGTTCAGTGTTGCTTTTCAAATTCACGCGCTGAGTAAGGCAATGGAACGGCGACGAAATAACAAAAGGTTACCAAAATAGTCTCCTCCTAGACACCTGACGGGGTGGCGTTGAAAGCGGGCTTCAAGCGGTCGATTGAAACTTTAACCTCGTTGTTGTTTATGTCGACTACGAAATATTTTGGCAATCTTTGAATTACTTTATACGGGCCTTTGTAGGGAGGAGAAAGTGATGGTCGAATTAAGTCGTCTCGAACGAAAACCTGTTCGCAGCTCTTTAGCCCGGTATGGACGAACACTTTTCCTTTTGAGTACCAGGCCGTGTCGACAGGCCGCAAGTCCCTCATACATTGACGAAGTTGCCTAACCATTTCAGTCTCGCTGACTGTCGATGTGGCATCCGTAAAGTACTCCGAAGGTAACCGTAGACTTTCTCCATACACCAAATCTGCTGGCGCAGCTCCCAAATCGATTTTATACGTGGAACGCAGACCTAACAAGATGAGTGGTAAGTACGTTGACCATTGGCTTGCGTTGTGGCATAGTATAGCCGCTTTTAATGTACGAT